TGGTTCATGAGCGCGATTCTGAACCCAGAAGGCCCTCAAGGAGTGAAATTATTCAATAATCTAAATTGGGTCCAAGCACGTGCTTCCAACACGATGTCGGTTCAAATTGATTCAAATTCACATCGAAAAATTAAATGCGATGTGCATGGCATGTGAATGGAAATGTGAAGAATGAATCCTGATTTTCCAATGTTTCCAAAACCAAAAAGTCATCTTATAAAATTCTGAAACCGCCTTTAAAATCGAATTCTGTAAACGCACAGATTGATGTGTCACAGAAGGTGAAATTAAATCACGTCCAACTTCCCCCCCCCCTCTTTGTTCCCCGGAACTCCTTTTCTTATCTCAATGACATATCTCATCGACAGCTTCTAGGCAGAGAACAAAGGTCCCTAATGAGCCGAGTTCTGAAACACAATCCGGTCTAACTCATGAAATCTTATCTCAGGAATAGTTCAGAAATCGTGCTCATGGGATGAATGTATCGGCGTGAAAGTGTGTCTCGCGTTTCTTTGCGATTATATTGGGCTGTAGCTGATTTAAATTCTAAGAAACTACACCGCTAACTGGAATCCTCCAGCATTGGAATCCCTGATCGCGTTCGTGATAATCCAGAGGATAATAATTTTTTTTTTAATCACTGGCTCCTTGTTGCTGAAAAACACGTTAATCTTTAATCACTTTGCTTGTGTAGTCATTTCATTCTCTCATAATAAAATTACTCGCGGCTTCTTCTACGTACAACTCAATCTCTTACCATTGTATTAGTTAATCCCTTCTTCCACGGAGATTTTCAATTTACCTTATATGGTTCCGAAAAAGTAATCATAGCTACCGTAAATTGGACTTGCTCGAACGTCGTCGCCGGGATGACGGATGACATGGACTCACATTATATTATATATATCTGGAGGTACCCTCATTAATTAGCATACGGTAATTGGCTCGCTTTGATAAGAGGAAAAGATGGCATGGAGTCAGTACATGACTCGAGGGGACGGAGGGGTACCAAGATGGATCCCCTGTCCCCCCGTGATGGATGATCAAGTACGTCCTCATTTGCATCCCCGTCCCTGCGTGCGTGAATGCATGCATGCATGCATGCATTCACGGCAGTACTGCATAGAACATCGGCAGTCGTCTGTCTGACCCCGAGATGGCAAGGGTCATTCATCATCCTTTCTTTTCTTCCTCCCCTCTCCTCGCTTGTTTCTGTCTGGAAGGGGACTCAGCGCGCGAGTGCTACGGGTCGGGTGCGTTCAGGGTGACCCTAGCGAGGGTCTCAAGGTTATTCTGCGGGACAGAAATGGGACTTGGTTTACCCGCAGAGGACGAGTGGCTGGGATCGGAAACTGTATAGTTCTTTGTCGGACTGGGAGCTCGAATACGAGGAATCCTGGTTTTCCTTTAGGGGAAAAAAAGAGAAGAAAACACGAGCAAGGACTCCTGCTGAGTGTTTTCTCGTTCGTAGGTGTAAGGACAAGCATGATCGACAGTAATTTGAATTGGAAATTTGCACCGAAACGTGGCAAGTTCACTGAAGGCACCCAGGTTCTGAATCACGGGTTAACAACGCTTTTCCAAACATGATGAGTTGAGTAGCGCTCAAATCGATGCGGTTCAATATGGTACTGTTCGATATCACTCGTCCGATATCGCTCGATACTCTTTTGCTTCTTATCGCATATTTCCTTCTTCACTTCGTGTGATCTGCCAGCGCGAGTATCGCCTCGTCCACTTGAATTCGTTCTCTAATACGCATTCGTGCAATTTTTGGGCACAATACTAACCAAATTTCATCACGATGAAGAGCTGGGAAGAACGAAGAAAGCCGGGGCTCTTGATAAGTCCCTTGAAAAATGCCCCATCCTTCCCCGACCTTCGGAATGTGCTTCATCCACTGCACTCATGTGAAAGGTGAGTGGGACTGATCCTTGATCGTCACAGGGGGAAGGATGCCAAAAGGTATAATCTTTCACTTATAAGATCTTGGGAATAACCAAGCCGGGATACAATAAGCCTGTGCGAGCTGTGTAAAAATGTACTCCAACTGGAAAGGAGTTCATCCAGAACCTGCCCAGATTCTGATGACGTCATTTCGGAATGGAATCGTAGCAACAGAGAAATGTATTTCCGGATTCCGAATGGATTCTTCTAGTACCCTTCGTTGAAATCCGAGTCCTAGAAATCTTAATAAGAATACCGACGAGATTAGGGGAGTAAACGTCCAGGGAAAACCAGACCTGCTGAAAGAAAAAGAAAGACTCGGAAGTTGGCAGAACTGGTTCGTATTCTCTGGTACGTCGAGATCATCCGTCTCGGTCATCCTGCCTCTTGATCCCCCACGGCAACCACTGTTACGACAGACGATGGGCCGAGGCTGACGGAATCGCGTGTCCTCATCGCGTACATTCGGGACGAGGCCGAAGGCATCCCGGCGAGACCGAGGATACGAAATGCGACATCCACGCAAGCAGCATTTACGTATTCACTCGAGCACTGGTGGGGGTGATCCGCAAGGGGGGCACGGAGTGTTCCCATTAAGAATGCATTGTATTTAAAAAGTTTTATTGTTGTCGGTGGAGGAATTCTCAGGTGCTCGAGAGACGGATGCCCTAGAAGGCTTCGGGTCGTAAATCTCTCTCCCACGAATAAATTCCTTGGCATATATAGAAATGGGAGGCAAAGAAAAAAAGTTTCTCTTACACCTGGGGATTCAGGTGCTAGTTTCCCACCTATGCGGAAGTCGCTAAAATCCTGTTCCGCGAAGACGTCTATATAACGACCTTGCCGGGACTTTGATAAATGTTCATTCGTTACATGGATTTCATCGGTAGTTGATTTCATTAATTACATTTATAAGAGAGAGAACATCGACAGCTACTTCGAATCTGTAAGAAGGAAAGGATTGGAAAAGCAATATGTATTTTTATGTTTTTGGGCTATTTACTTTAACACTGACACTACTTCAATTATGTCAGATTTGGCATTGTGGGATACGTTATAGGAGGCAAATATACAGTATTCAAAAAGAATTGCATGTAGAATGAGTCATAAATAAATCACAAAGTTTGAAGCCTCACATCTAAGGATGTAGAGAAGGTAGGAATTAAATATTTACATAATCTTACAAAGCAAATGCTTGATTACATAAAGCAGGAACATCAAATATTTGGAATTAGCTCATAAGACAAGACTGTGCATTTGTGATGCCAATCGCCACCATTTTGAGAAACCTCACAAAACTCAACATGCCATCTCCATCGCCATCGACTAAGGCCTGTATTCGTCTGTGGAGGAAATGCTTGTACCTGAGGCCTCGGTCGTTCGGATTCTGGGGATTTCATTGATCAGCTGAAGTAACAGCCGCTTTCATCTCTTAGGTGTGTGCGTATTTATGGCATCTTGACTTACGGAACCTGGATGAATCTAAGACAAAGCCCATAGTAATGTCTTGAAACTTCACGTTTTTCAATGATTCCCTCGGTAATAAAACGACATGGTTGCAACTGTTAAATGAAGTCCCGAAAAATGGAGTCGCCGACTTCCACGAGAGCTTGGACTGTCACAGGGCCTTGTGATCCGTCTTCTGACAGATCTCAGCAATCATTTCGAATGAATGTCAACCAAAATCGTAAACTCTGACCTTCAGAGAGCCCAGGACCTTGCTCTACAACTTTTTCTCAAGACAAGATGTCCCGACTTAGGCGTCTTCTTTCCGTTTTCTTTTTCTGTCATTGTCTTGTCGCGGTCTTTTACATTACCTCTCCGGTTCTAACTTGATCAGCATATCGGAAAAAAATTGATGAAACCATCATTTGACGACCATATCATAGAACGAAGTTATGTGAATACCGGGTGTTTTTCCTTATTTGTAGACATATTTTCGAATCCAAAATTTTATTTGCAGTAGCGCACATAAATGGTAACTACGGAGCTAAAAATGAAATGTTTAAGGTAATCATTAAAAAAATCACCCAAGTTGACTTGGTTGCTGAGTTTCTTTTTTTAAATATGTGAATTGCAATAGAATGCCCTCAGACACAAACCTTATCGCCACAGACAAATTCAGGCATACTTCGACGACAATCGAGGCAGACGAGTTGAATTTTAAGAGTTTTTTTTAAGTGGTGGCCGATGTGTCTCGATGCTCGATCGCTTCATCCCGTCTGACAATCAAATTTCAAATCTCTTACATTTTTCAATGTTTCTGATTCGTATTTGCTCATATACGAAGACATAAATATACGAGGGTCACCCCAAAAGTAATGCTCCCGATTTTTTTCTGAGTAACGCTTAATTGCAATCGAAATTGGCGGTTCGCCAGCATTGACACCATTGTTTTCCACCGCTGCTGGCGAAGTTTCGTGGTTTCATTCCCAGGAGGATATAAGTGCACACATAGTTTAAAATGGCCGATATAAAAATAAGTCTACAGAAATGTTCACACATGTTATTGCTAACTATTACTGTGTACTTGCGTTCAATTGTGATAAATCATTTGTCAGAAAATAAATCGGGAGCATTACTTTTGGGGTGACCCTCGTATATCGATCATATCTTTTGCATATCCATAGTTAAGAGGCTTCGAACATCGTGGGTTTACATATGACCCAGCCTGTATACCTCAGTCAAGTCATAGCGCTTCTACACAGGCTGACCGAACAGTGTAAGGTATGAAACTGCTAACTCTGGACAGACGGTGAGACCGAAGCTTTCCTACGAAAGCCAATTTGTCTCTCTCATACGAGCGTCTATCATCAATCTCGACTCAAACGATCCTATGACAAGTCGAAGGAAGGAGACTGGAAAATGGTCTCTGATGACCCCCGTTTCAACGAGATCGAGATCTGGAGGAGGTGTCACGGGGGGAAATCTCAGTCCATCCATCACGTTTCATCTAGGCTCGTGGAACAATAAACGCCTCATAATTGGCCCCCGTCTCGAATGTGAGATGACCTTGACCCTCCCCAGGGCAAAGGACGCGACCTTGGGCCCAATTATGAATCAAGGAACCTCTCTCCCTCACTCTCTACAACAACCTGCTTGTTCCGATCGGAATCCGGTGAGAGAGAAGAGAAGGGACGATGACTATGCAAGAAAATGACAAATTACTTTGGGACACCGGTGGAAACCACAGGGGTTATACCGGTGCCTCCATCCTCCATCCGAGTGGAAGGGGAAACCTGAAAGGAGAAACGAAAGAAGGAAAAAAAAAAACCCTCATTTTTGTACACGTGTGTGTGTATGGGGCTCCTGCTCTTGGACGCTGGACACACTTCATTGCACGGGTTCAATGAAAATTCTCCCCTTTCCCAATTCTCCCCTTTCCCTCCATACAATACAAAAGTCATGCTTGTTCATCGTCCGTGAGTCAATGAAGTTCAGTGAAACATGAGGTTTCCCCCCTCCAATGCCCCAATGAACACATTTCAGAGTCCCTGGGATTTCGTTCTGGGCCCGTCCTTTATTATAGGTGACAGATTATCATTTCTTATACCAATTTATAGATACTCACCTGTAGCAAGAGACATAAGAAGCGAGATGAAAGTAGATATCCCAGGACGACGGCATCGTGGACAATTTCCCAAATGACCACTTGGCTTCGCAGGACCTATGGTCAAACAAGCAAACAATAATAGTAAAATAAAAGTGCATAAAGTTATGAGGATGATTTTACACGTTAAATGCCCGCATGACAATTCGTGTTCTTGCATCAACATGAAGATACGCCTATACATTCCGCAACTAGAGGTCCGGAATACCACTTCCAGGATTTCCACTTCCCCCCAAGGCCTCGTCCGGCGACCGTCACCGCGGACGTGGTCCATTGAGGATGTTGAATCCCAGTGCTGTTAGGTTAAGGAAAGGGATGGAGCCTGTGGATGCCTCCATCCTCGCGCCGCGACACCCGTTCGTATTGAATAACGCATTTGTACGGATTGGATTACTGGCATCTTGTCGTTCCCTTGCCCTTGCGAACTCGAACTAATGACACCATCGTGGCTCACATGAACCATGACGTTGAAGAGTCCGACCTTAATACATCTTGGGGAGGTCTGCCATACTTCTACGTCAGAAACCCAGTACCCATGGGAAATGTATCATTGAATACGTGCACTTACTCAGATGCGTTAACATTTTCTACGACTTCTTCATCCGCGGGTATTTATCTTTGCAGTCTAGTCGAACTTCGTGTTAAGCACGAGGTTTGACTGCATATGGGTCTTGCATGAATGCGATTGCATGGGGAGCAGAGAAAGGAAAGGTAAGAATACCATGGAAATTTTATGAATGGAATTTAATCGATAGTTACATATAATGAAACATTCGAGTTTTCGCGATACTCTTGTGCTATCATGGATTCCCAAGCCAATCACTTTCGCATAAAAGACAACTTGCATGAATTCCTTGTCAGTCTGACCCGACGGTGTGTATCGAGGAGGGTCTCATGTGATGCGTAGCGCAGCATCCCTCCCCCCCTCCCCGTCTCGTCTCCGCCCATCTCTCTATCCTTGATACCCAATCTCGAGATATCCAGTCAATATGGGTATTAACTGACATCTAGTAAGAAACGTTTGGCAGCACGACTGAATCTCGACGGAATGGTTAAGAAAGACGGTATCCATGGGTCACCGGCTCAACTAGACAGTACGGATAGACCAAAGTCAGAGTCAATCGTGAAACTTCATGAAAAAAACTAGACATGTATTGGATTCGATACTACGTATGGGAATTTTCACTATTCGCCATAAGCTCAATCTTAAGATTTATCCTGAAAATTGATTCCTCGTGACCGTAGTAGTTGTCAGTCAAATTTTGCCAAATAATCCTCATTCTGGCTCGTTTTTGGCTCAACTTTTTCCTTTTACCTCCCCGAAGCAGCCCTTTACTTCACTGGTTTAAATAAACTTTCCTACCACATATATTTAAGAAAAGTCCAATAGTTCAAGTATTTGATCGGCTGAGATCTACACAGAAAAGTTCGCATCATGTCGAATCAAAAATTAGTCGCCTGAGATCATCCTCTTGTTTTATTTTTCCCTTTCTAAATGTCTTCGATCGTCCTACCAACCCGGAAGTATCCACAGAGGAACAAGATTTATGACGATGGAAGATTCGGGAGAAGACGTCGTCGGACATTTTCTCAAAAAAAAAATTCTCCCTCCGCATTGCTGCATCTCGTGAGAACGTGGCATCAATCATGAGAGCAATTATTGGTCTGTCTCATTAGGATTCTTGACCCGGTAGGGAATTGTGAGCTCATTACAAGGGAAAAGGAACGCCTATAAAAGAGAGAGGTGATGCGAATCCCCTCTACATTACACATGTCTCTCCCCATTAGTATATATTGAATCTCGATCTTAATGTGCCACGCACGAATCATAGAAGCGACCCCAGCCGAACTGGACGGACGGGTGAGGCAGCCGAGCCCCCACGACCCACGCCACACCGATTCCCATTCCGCTTTTGTCACGTTCGTGATGGCACAAGAGGCGGAGAGGCGCTCCACGTCGATATGCGCGGCTGGTCTCGCCGCGTGCGCTATAAAAACATAAGTATGCTCAGGTACTAAATAATCCATAAGACACGCCTTATGAGGGTGTTGAAATCATTCGGTTGCAAAAGTGGGGGAGGATGAAGAAGAGATATCGTGCCGCATTCAACCCACACGCAAGTTGGGACTCGCCTACGTCTATGCGTTCCATCTGCAGTAAAATGCCGAACGTAGGTGCTTGTAGTAAGCTAGTTGAAAGATTTTCAGTTTCATCTCAAACTCAAATCCTTAATTTTCATCAGTTCCAGTAAGAGCCACCGCTGAGATTTGTGACACTGAGATTGTGGCAACCTGGTCGGCAAAGGAATTTTGAGCACTCAGGGCTTGTGAACCCTCGGTTTCCTCATCGACACATCCATGACAGTTAAGCTTGTAAAATACGCAATTTTACAACTGAAAAACGAACATTTTAAAACGAGGAAGTCGCCATAGCTTCTCGATCGGAAGGAATCGCCCTGTTTCCTCCCAGTGAGAGGAAGCCAGTGCAGACAAAGCCATGACATTCCTTGAGAAACCCAGAATTGTTTCCCTTTCTCCCACCCCATGGACAATTCTAGCGGTAAAAGTCTCACGACCCGATCTGTGCACTGCCATCTAGGTTTTGTACATACGCGCAAAGCGATAAAAAAAAGACAAAGACATTAATAAGAAGCATCGATAATATTCATTTCTCTTTTTTTTTTTGTCCATGCCCGGACCCATCCAAAGACAAATGCCGGGGAGGGGCAAAGGTGAGGCACGTGGAATTGATTCCATATTATCATACATCTGCATGACGATGATTGCAGCCCATCCATCTCGCAAGCGGGACGCCATTCGGAAGATCTGCAATGTGCAACGTCCCAGCCGCACCCCCACCAGACAGACCCCTCCAGGCCAGAAATACTTTTAATCCTCCCAGGAATGCAGGCGGAGGAGGCGGAGGAGGAGTGCATTATGGTAAAGAGAGTACCCTTGCATCCAAGTACCTCATCAGGCATTCGCCCTCGAGGATCTTTTTTTTTATGCTGATGAGGCACGCGTCTGCCTTTGAAGCCGAGGTAACAATTGTCTCCAGTGTCTCCCCTCTCTCTCTCTTTCACGGGTATGTTATAAATGATACGACAATGATAATGAGAGAATGTCTTCTCTCTCTCTCACAATGGAGGGGGAGGGCGGTGCTGCCTTGAAATTGCAGGGCATCGATTCAGTCAGCATTCACGATGCGGGATTCAGAGCACGTGCCAATAAAAAACCGCGTCCTCCTGGCACTTCCAATTACGACCGCATTGAGAGAGGAAGAGAGGGAGACAGAACCCCGCCGGGGCATCTTGGGTCCATATTTTTTAATGGAGTCTCCCACGAAGAGCGAGGGATGAATCATGAAGTCAGATCTGAAATTCCTCTTAGGATAAATATTTGCTCCCGGGCGCGAACGAGGAAAAGAAAAAAAAGTCATATCGTCCCTGGTTTCAGGTGACGTCAGGTGTCACAGGACACCGCTCTCAGCCGAAACTCAACCTGACGTCATCTTATGCAAGACTCCCAGATGATCATGTTGCAAATCCATCCCACGAAATCGTCCTCTACCGCCGGCACAGAGGAATATCTCGTATAAAAACGACACAGAGGGGAGTTCGAAAGTACGAGAGGAAGAGGCGGCATTTCTCCTCGCTCGAGAATTTTTTTTCCGTCCCGCATTTTTCCCCGCTTGGTCGACAGCGTGTAGACTGTAATTGTCATTCCCTTCCATTTCATCTTCACGCAGAGGTGAAATGGTCTGGGAAGAGATGAGACGAAATATAACAGCCGTATCCCTGACCACTTCCCCTCGTTGCCCTTCACGAAACACAACTGCCCCCCCCCCCCTCCCAAAGTTTCGCCACAACTGCCTCTTTCCTACCTGTTCTCGCGAGTTGAGGAAAACTATGATAACGCATGGAGGATTTTCAACAAAGGCTCCAATGGGGATTAAAATGAAGAAAGCTCACTGTACCCATGTAACATGGTTTTGTTTCCCCATAGAAGTTCGTGCTTTACTCCCTCCCCCACTTTTCGTCATCCAACGAGTACGAACGACCTAATTTTTTTCCTGTGGAACTTGAGGCACGCGGATGGATAGAACCCAGACCGTTTCCCAAGAACCCTGACGCCTAGCTACAATTAATAATGGTTGTGACATGCACAAACAGACATCTCCTTCTTTCTCTTCCCCCCTCTCTCTGCCCTATACAGTGCCTGTACTGAAGGACTGACTGAACGTGAAAGGCGTGTGTGGACTGTCAACCGTGGTGTATATATGAACGCGTGCGTGCATGGGTTTTGTTTCACTGGGCTTCATCAACATGATATAGAGCCCTCCTCCCTTCTCCTCCACTCCGCAACAGTCCGGGCTTATGGTCGTAAGGCGTGTGTGTCATACTCTGCAGAATCCACCTGTGCACTTCCCACGCGTTGTTTGTTTTCGGTCTCATTATCGGCTTGCGTTGGAGGTATCATTGTGCTCAGTGCTGACAGCGATATAATCGTTGGACTCTTTTTGGCAAATCACAAGGTGAGACAGCGAAATCATCTTTCATATTAGGAAAAATTTTAAAGTTTTCTTTTCCTGAACGTTAAATTCATCCGATGTGCAGGAGGCAGAGTTTCCAAATGAATGTGAGGAATGTGAGATTATGACAAGGCGATGAGGCAAATGGAAGCAGTACTTTTTTTTAATGGGGAGGGGGGGACACGAGAGAGCTTCATGAAATTGAATTTCTGATGACTCTAAAGCGATTATCTGTTATTTAGAATTTCGCATGCGTAGTTAATTGATGTGTCACGTCAACTTAGGAAGGAGACTACAGCGTAAAAAATACAGCTTTAAGGAAAATATCGCATGCAGGCTGAGCCTGACGTCTCCATTTGAGGTCGGCCCGGGATCAATTTTCCCTAGGACGGTTTCTTTTAGCGCGAGATTCTGCTGGAATCAGGCGAAGCGATCTATTAATACAATCAGAATCGACAGAGTTTTAGGTGCAGATGGTCTAAAGATGGCACAATTCGAAACAATAATTGATATCGTGAGGACCGATGAGAACATCAATCCATGACGACCATACTTCTTTCCGCGGAACACCATAAAATTGGCAAGCATTCTCAGAGGCTTATGACACATCCAAGTATCAGATCCTAAGAAAAAAAAAACGGATATGTCGTCTCGCAGACTCTGGAGACTGAGACCTTTTGGACTCAGTTCGAAATGAGAGCTACAGGAAGTACTTAAAGGGTTGGTTTCCCCCTTAAGGAAAGAAAAGGAAGAAACCCAAAGGTTTCTCTAGCCTATTCCACGGGAGAATGCCGTGAACTTTAGAGAACTCCGCATTATAACGAGTTCTCAAGGTGTTTTGGTTGTCAGCTTGAAACCCCGGATGGTTC